GAAGGAACTGAAGACCCACACCCAAGCTTGTCCTCTGCCCTCCATGCATATGCTAGCATAAGCACACACACACACACACACACACACACACACACACACCAACCACAAAGAAAAAAAGCTAAACTTTTCCAGTGTGATGCACAGTTTTTAGTCTCCAAAGTAAAGGCCATGAACCCTACAAGATAAAGAGCAAAGGAGAGAGACGAGAGGCCCAAGTGCCATGTCCACTTGGAAGCCATCATTCGGAACAAGAACGCTGACATCTGTAAGCAATAAAAACCCCGCCCAAGGAGCTGTGCTGAAGAAGCAAAACAGAAAAGGAAATCCTCAGCGTCATATGTAATATATATCATGACGAGAAAAAAATCACACAAATGTGAAAGTCCTTCACCTGTTTTAAACGGGTCAAGATAGTGTTATCTGGGAGGAGAGTGACTTAAAACCCTTCCTGATAGTCAACAATTGTAAATCAACAGACTGAATAAATAGGTTTTGGGAGTCAGGAAAGTATGGGAAGATTACATGTCTATTTTCATATACCCACTTATAAATCTTGAAATTCAGCGATTCTATATATAACCATGAAAATAACAATCATTATGACGTCAATCTCAAGGAAAAGTATCCTTCCTGGAAACAGAATGCTACCGTAAAAATATATTGTAAAGTTAACACCAGCTCAGTCTTCTGCGGATGATTACCATGAACAGAAAATATCCAGCAGCATATTACCCAAGCTTTAGAGAGGAAAAGACAACCTTCCAAACACTCTTCTGAAGCTAACAAGGGATACCCCGCCATCAGTTGGCCTGGTCTCCCATCACTTGCCTTTCTTATACTCCAAAGCAGAAGTGCTAAACGAAGAGGAAAATGCTTGTAGGAAGTCTGCCAAGACAGGCTTCACTGACTGACTACCACACATCTTCTCTTCAGAGGTATTTTTTAGTTTTAACACACTCTTGGCTGTCATTAGGAGTCTTAAGTCTTCAATAATATGGATACTTTGAAATATTTCCCCAAATCCTAGTAAATGCTCTCATTATTCCTGCTCTCTAGACAAATGCAATAAAGGAAAATAAAAACAGAGAGAAAGGAGAGAGGAAGGGTAGAAGGGACAGAGGAGGGAAGAACAGAGGGACAGAGGGATGAAGAGACAGAGGGAAGGAGGGACAGAGGGATGGAAGGACAGAGGGTAGGCAAGCCAGCAGTTGCTGCAATTAGCCTGGGCCCTGATCTATCTAAGTCATTCCACAGGACGTAAAGGAGTGGTTTGCCCAGAAAGTACTTCAACTGGAGAGACACCAGTTTACAAGCAGCATTTGGCTCAGTTTGGAGGATCTTCTGCAATTAGGAGAACATATCAACAATGTCACCTGATAACTCACTGGTCCCTAACAGTAGAAAGGTGCCAGCCTGTGAGCTGGAGCTGGGGGAGCCTATAGGCATACTAAAGTAATATCAAGGAGACCATATCTGTGAGTAAATATGTATCCACATGGACCACACACACACACACACACACACACACACACACACACACACACACACAGAGTCTGGCGTGGCAATTCTCATTGACGGACAAAGCCAGTACTAAAACATCTATCAACATATCACCTTGGTTTTACAGAGGCAAAATACAACTTTCCAAACACTATTCTGAAATACAGCACACATATGTGAATATGCGTATCTATGACAGAATGAGACATATGTCTATTTAAATACCACAAAGACACAGGGTATAGCAGAAGTGTGACCTGGGTTGAGACCTGTGTTCTGATCCTGGTGGTCTGTGCCACGCTAAATAACTCCTTTATTTAGAGACTGACCTCTGCTTCAGACTCCTGGCAACACCCCACGAGAATGTAAGTTAAGGCACTCTGCACATTTAAAAGAATGCAAATGAGTATTATTACTGTCAGTAACGGGACGGTTTCAACGAAAAGTATCTCCCAAGCCTCATTTTTTGGCACTTAGGCCCAAGTTGTTGGAAGTGTCTGAGAAGGTCGTGGAGCCTTTAGGAGGTGGAATCTCCTTGGATGAAGCACTGTGCTGAGGGAGGGGTGGGCCTTGAGGTCTCTAGCCTAAGCAGACTCCTTGGGCTCCCCACCCCTTCAGCCCGGCTGCTTCCAGCCTCCTGCATACAGGTGAAAATGTAACCAGCCAGCTCCAGCTCGTCCTTCCCCCGCATGGGGTACTGTATCCCCTGGTATCCACTCTGGAGCTGGAAGTCACAATAAAATCCTTCGTCTTCTCAGTTGATTTTTGTTGGGGAGTTTTGTCATAGTGACAGAGGTGAAATGACAAGATGACAGCCACAGAAACTGTAGCTACCACCGTTGAAGATATGATGGACTGAGGGTGACATGCCACCTCTCAAGGCAGCCTCCTTTCTCTCCAGACAACTCCAAGTCAGGAGATAAAAAGCACCCGTAATGTGATGTACACAAAAACCAGAACTTTATCCATGCAGGACACTGATATAGTTATTCTTTACATTTTAATTTCAGGAAAATTCATTTCATTACAGTGCTGGCATACAGGCTTGCATAGCTAAAGCTTACTTTTTATTAATTAATTGTTTCATTTAGTTTACATGCCAACCACAGCTTCCCCTCTCTCCTCTCCTCCCCCCTCAGCAACCTCCCATCTACACTCCTCCCCATCCACCCCTCCTCCCATTCAGAAGTGGCAGGCCTCCCATGGGCATGAACAAAGCATGGGACATCAAGGGGAGACAGGACCAAGCTCCTCCCCCTGCATCAAGGCTTAGGTAGGCAATCCAGCACAGGCTCCCAAAAGACAGTTAAAGGCTCCAGGGACAGGTCATGATCCCACCGCTAGGAGCCTCCCAGTCAGACCAAGCTACACCCTGTCACACACATGCAGAGGGCCTAGGTCAGTTCTACGCAGGCTCCCTAAGTCCAGAGTCCATGAGCTCCCAAGAGTTCAGGTCAGCTGTCTCTGTGGGTTCCCCCATCATGACCTTGACCCCCCTGGTTCATATCACCCCTCCTCCCTTTCTTCAGGAAGACTTCTGGAGCTTGGCTCTGCTCGGTGCTTGGCTGTGGATCTCTGCATCTGCCTCTATCCGTTACTGGATGAAGGCTCTCTGATGACAATTAGGGTAGTCACCAACCTGATTACAGTAGACACGTTGTGATTTAAGAAAAGCAGTGCATGAGAGAAAGATGCCACGAAACAGGGTTCAAGCAGAGGGTTTTTTGTTTGTTTGTTTGTTTGTTTGTTTGTTTTAATTAGGGAAAGGGATCATCAAAAGGGGGAAGGGGAGGGGGAAGACTGGTCTCCAGAGACAGGAGCAGCAGGAGAGAGGAGAGAGGGAGAGGGGTAGGGAGGGAGGGAGGGAGGGGGAGGGCGGGAAGGAGGGAGGAAGGGAAGAAGGGAGGGAAGGAGGGAGGGAGGGAGGGAGGGAGGGAGGGAGGGAGGGAGGGAGGGAGGGAGGGAGAAGGATGGGGTGGGCAGAGCCCTTTTAAAGGGGAACATAGTGCTCAAGGGATGCTCTTAGTGGCTGCAGCTGAGGACAGATCCTGTCAGAGTTCCGAGGACAGGCCAATACAGACGCCTGAATACTAAGACATCCTCCCTGCCGGAAGTCTTAGCTCGGTCGTCCATGTGGATTCCTGGGACAAGATCTCTCCTTAACCCCGAAATGTCCCCCTATGTCCCCCTCCTTCCCATCCCCAACCTGCCTCCTGCACCCAGCCTGCCCAACCAGATCCCTCATCCCACCCCTCACCCTCACCCCAAGTCTACCCAGGAGACCTCTTCTATTTCCCCTTCCTAGGGAAATCCATTGGCCACTCTTTGGACCTCTTTGTTTTATAGTCTCTCTGGGGTTTGGAGTATAGGTTGGCTGTCCTGTGCTTTCCTCCTAATTTCCACTTGTGAGTGGGTACATACCATGTACTCAGAATGAGTTTTTTTCTAGTTCTATCCATTTGCCAACAAATTTCATGAGGTCACTGTTTTTTTTTTTTTTACACTAAAGCTTATTTCTGATGGTTAACTCCAAGGCCATCACAGCGTCTCCCTGGTTAAACACACTTGGAACACAGCCTGGCGACCTGAGTTTGAGCCCCAAACCCACATAAAGTTGTTCTCTGGGCCTCCACACGAACACGGTGATACACACAGCACACACAGAAATGTCATATGGACACAGACAGTAAAAGTAGCAAAAATAATATAAAAGCTACTTCACACACCAGGAGTGCCCGTACTAAGGAATGCATGTCTGTGCACAGTATGCTTGCAGGGCCTGAGGAGGCTTGAGGAAGGTGCATCATTCCCAGGAGCAGGAGGTGCAGATGGTTGTGAGCCACCATGTGGGTGCTATGAACCAAACCCAGGCCCTTTACCAGTGTTCTGAACTAGGGATCCAACTCTCCAGCACCCAAAAACTATATTACTTTCTTTTTTTGTTTTGGCTTGTTTTTGGTTTTTTGTTATGTTTTTGACAAGGTCTTATTCTTATCTCTGGCTAGCTTAGAACTCGTTAAGTATATGAGGCTTGCCTTCAACTCACAGAGATCCGCCTATCTCTGCCTCCTGGGTGCTAGGATTAAAGGTGTGTGCCACCACACCCAGGCCAAATTATATTTTGAGTAAAGAAAAGCACTGCCAGTAATTGTACTCTAATATTTTACATAAGCTAACCTATTACCCTAGAAACATTTTAACCCCATTTTTCCCAGCTAGCAAAATCCCCTCAGTTTTCATAATCCCACTCAAATGTTACTATTTTGAAGTCTCATGCAAACAGTCTTTAGTAGACTGTTTTATTTACTTTATTAGTCAGTTTTCCACCCATAAATTATCTTTAAAGCTAATTACAGCCACATATCCTTTCAAAATTACAGGAAGAATCTATTCTGTGTTTCTAGTTGTAAGATGCTATGTGGCTGTCTAATTCAGATTTATTCCTTCTCCTGGCATGCTCAGACACAGCAGGATTCATGAGAAACACAGAACAAACTTACCAGCCTACGCCTTTCTTCCTCTACGGCAATAAGCAGCCTTGCGAATTCTTTCAGTGACTGGGCTATTTAAAAACAAAACAGAAGGAAGGGCATTAATCCTCTTTCAGGGTTAATATTTAATGACAAGGTAGCAAACATTACAATGAAACCAGTTATTAATTTATATCTTCTGTTGTGTGGTCTTGTTTGTACATCCATGAAAGCATGCATATAGTAAGAGGTCAATGACTAAAAGCTGTGGAGAAGAGGCGGTTGTCTCTGTGAGCTCCAAATTAAACCCAGGAAGTGAGTCTACAGATCCTAAAATAAATGTACATTATATACTTAATATATGAAACTTACGTTAAATAGTCTTGATCTCTTTCAACAATGGTCTGTGGATATTAGACATTTTTTGTTGTTTTTGTTTTCTAGAGGTTTTTTTTTTTTTTTGTATGAGTGCTCTATCTGCATGTACAACTTTATGCCAGAAGAGGGCATCAATCTGACTGTAGAGGGTTGTGAGCCACCACTTGGTTGCTGGGAATTAAACTCAAGACCTCTGAAAAAGGAGCCAGTGTTCTTAGCCCCTGAACTATCTCTCCAGCCTGAACAGTTTTAAACTCTGTAAAAAGCAATGGGCCAGGCTAAAGAGACAGCTCCATCGGTGAGAGCCGCCACACTCGCTGTGTGAACCTGAGGACCTATGTTTGGATCTCCAGCACTCACACAAAAAACTGGGCACATCTGCACACGCCTGGGGAAAATGACACAGAAGACATGAGGATCCCTGGGGCTCCCTAGCTACCACCTGAGCTAGAAAATGCTGAGGCTGGGCTCCGTGAGAGTTCCTACCTCAAAGAAATGTGGTGGAAAATGATAGAGGAAGACACCTACATTCTTCCCTGACTTCCTTACATGTGCGCACGGGCATGTGTGTGTACACACACTCATGAAGGCACGCACACATGTGGTGACTACATAAATGGAAGATCGTATAGGCATGCTTAGTAGCACCTAGTAATGCAACTCCTTCCACACACACTGAATTCTTTTAGCTCAGCAACATTACAGAAGGGATTGAAAGAGAGAAATATGGGGGTGCACAGGGAGAGTATTGAGGGGTGCTGACTTCCTCTGCACCCTTTACCTACAACAGCTCTGATTTCTTGCCCACCACCATTCACCATGGTGAGGGAAGTAATGGCTGGAGAGAGGGAAATACGCTTTCTTCTGCAGTGCCCAAGCTCCTGTGAACAACCACTCTCTCAAGAGCCTCTAAGCAACTCTAGTGGAATTCACTGGGCCACTGAAGAGACATGACAGGAGAAGAGGGTCCAAAGGGGACAAAAGAGGGTAATGAGAAGTCAATATAATCAACAAGCATCATATAATGTATGAAAATGCATACATATAGACGTATAGAAAGGCACACGCCTTCAATCCAAGCACTTGGGAAGCAGACTCAGGAGGATCTCTGTGAATTTGAGGTTTGAAATCAGCCTGGTTTACAGAGTAAGTTCCAGGACATCCAGGGCTACACTGAGAAACCCTATCTCAAAAAAAAATTAAAAAATATGAAAATGTCATATTAAAACCTACTTTATGACCGTGAAAGGAACACAATAAATCAATAAATAAATAATGTAAATTCATTTATCTGGGTAATGGTGGTACGTGCCTTTAATCGCAGCACTTGGGAGGCAGAGGCAGGCAGATCTCTGTGAATCTGAAGCCAGTCTGTCTATAGAGTGAGTGCCAGCACAGCAGGGGCTACATAGAGAAACCTTATCTAGAAAACCCTAAGAAAGAAGGGAGGGAGGGATGGAGAGAGGGAGGGTATAGAGAAATAATAGCCACTTACAAACTGGGAAAACAAAGCTCTACAAATAACACAGTCATAATAACCTAGCTATGTCAGAAGTAACACACTCCCATTATAATATGAATGTTAAAACTGTTCACTGAATTGTCCTGTGTGGAGAGAATAGAAGGATGTTGACACAATTGGAAACAAGAACGCATGACAAAAGTATAATGTCAGGAGGAAGTGCCTAAAAATGAAAATCAATGCACAGCCAGCCAGCACAACCGTGGTTCTGGAAAACATAAGCGGTGGTCAGCTCTGAAGTGGTCTTGGGGGTAAATACAAAGGGAACTGACAGAACATAAATTGGTAGTTCTGTTAAATGTAATAAAATATATAATTTTTAAAACAGGAAGGATCCTACAAGTTCTTTATGCTATCACAGCCACAAACTTGGGAGGGTACAAACTGCATATGATACAATTTCCCAAAGTTAAATCATTTCAAACACAAGGCAGTTGTGAGGACCCTGGGACAATCAGGACTTCACTAGGATCTGCCTATCAGCCAGAGAGGACCCTGGGACAACAGAACTTCACAAGGATCTGCCTATCAGCCAGAGAGGACCCCGGGACAACAGAACTTCACTAGGATCTGCCTATCAGCCAGAGAGGACCCTGAGACAACAGAACTTCACAAGGATCCACCTATCACTGGTCAGCCACAGATGACCCTGGGGCAAACAGGACTTCACACAGGAACTGGCAGCAGCAGCCTAGACCCCCATGCTCCTGGGCACCTGATGACACCCGCAGGCTTCTTTAGGAAACCCACTAAGGTGCGGTTGCTTCAAACTGGAGTCTGGTTTCCAGGAAAAGGCAGCTAAATTTCTCATTTGGTCTCCCACTGCCTCTCCTTGTTCAACAGAAACTGATGCCATTTTCTACTACACTTGAACTGGTCTGTTTCCCATATAAATACTATTTATAAACTCATAATAGCTGATTATAATACAAATGTCTTAGAAGACAAATTTTAACATGCAAAAGAAATTGAATGTCTGGTTCCCCACAGCAAAAACCACCGCCCTCCAGCAGTTTTGGGGAATTGGACCCAATCTGAGAATACATTTTGTTCCCTCTTTTTCTTTTGTTGACTTTTCAAGTAAAAGTCTTTAAAAAAAAGACCCAAAGAACTAAAACTGTTCTTTTCAAATATTATAAAGCCGGCTCCACTTGAAAAATACATATATTGGATCCAAATGAGGATTTTTGTGTTCTTTGAGAGAGTGAGCACATGGGAACCCTGACTGTTCATCTCATGAACTGGGTGGTGATCCACCAACCCCAGAAGCACAGGGCTAAAGCGTCGGGATATTTCATTAATAGTTTTCTAGAAGAGCAGAAAGAGGACAAGAGTCTGCAAAGCAAGCAGAGGTTTTGTTATTATCATGAAACCTAGATTTTAGAAGAATGCTCCTGAGGATATCTGGTCACCCCCACACCCTCAACATCCAACAGGACATCGCCAGAAGCTTGAAAGATCCAGCTGTGTACTGCTCCTAGGCAACCCCTGGAGATGGAAAGACAACATTATCACTGTTGGTGCACAGGGCCACAGATGCCTTAAAAGACCACAAGATCATGGGGTTGGGGGGGGGGGGACACTGCTCGCAGTTCCTTTAAAATCAGGAACAAGGCAAGGATGTCCAGGCTCACCAATCTTACTCAATATGCTACTTGCAATTTTAGCCAAAGTGACTGAGCAAGAGAAAGAAATTCAGGCTGTGTAAGTAGGGAAAGAGGAGGCTAAATGATCCCTGTGTGCAGGCGACATAACTCTACACTTAGAAAACCCTAAATGGGCTGGAAGGTGGCTCAGTAGTCAAGAGCACATCCCAGTTAACTCCCAGCACCCGTTCAAGGCAACTCACAGGCAGCTATAACTGCAGCTCCTGGGGTAACGCCTTCTTACGGCCTCTGCAGCAAAACACAGGAGCATGCACAGACACAAAAATAAAAATAAACTCCATCTTAAAAGAGAAAGAAAATCCTAAAGACTCCCCGGAAAGTTTCCTAGAACTGGTAACAAATTCAGTAAAGCAGAAAAAAAGAAATTCAACACACAAAAATGAGTAGCAGGCTGATGACGTAGCTCAGTGGTGATGTAGCTCAGTGGTGACATAATGCTAGACCAGTGTGAGCAAAGTTCTGTTTTTAGGCATCTGTACCACACTCACACATACACATACACATACACATACACATACACATACACATACACATAGACATACACATACACATACACATAGCTTTCCTGTGTGTTGGCAATAGCTGAGACTAAAACAACAGGGAAACAATTTTGTTCATGAAGGCTCCCATAAGAATATACTAAAAGCCACAAACAAGCTCAAGGAAGAAGAGAAATAACCTCTAAGTGTGAAAATGATGAAACCCAGAAGGAAAGAACTGAAGACACTAGAAGATGGGAAGACCATTCATAGACAGAGAGAATCAATCCTCTGCAAATGGTCTGGAGGCTCAAAAACTTTCACAAATTCCGTGGTCTGCGTGAGACAGCAACCGAACCCTTAAATCCAAATGGAAAGGCAAAAGCCACCCCTCCCCCAATGGCAAAAGAGGTCTTGAGCAAAAAGGACAACACCACAAACATCAGGATATCTGATTTAAAAAAAAAAAAAAACGTGCTAGAGGATGATTAAAAACAAAAACACCAGGGAAGTCATGAAAACAGTGAGGACCCAGAAAGAAACGCACACCATTGCACTTACCAACCCTCACAGATGATAACCCTTCCAACAGACAGTGCTGAGAGAGAGCGCTTCTTGCCCAGGCGATTCCCACTAGGCCCTACACCTTAACCACACGCAAACGTGCTCTATCTCCGTTTCTGTGGCTGGGATAGGGGAGGTAGGGTTACTGAGCTTACATCATCCTTGTGTTACAGTTCAGGAAAGTCACAGCTTTGGGAGCTTGAGACAGTGGTCCCAACCCATCTCATCCATCACACCAAAGCCAGGAGTAAATGCACATATTTCACCTGCCTTACCTGTGCTGATCCTAACTTCTCCTCTTACACAGCTCTAGATCCCTTCCGTAGAATAGTGCCACCCATACTAGGTTGAATCTTCCCACATTGGCTATTTTAATGAAGACATTCCCCTATACACATGCCTACAATCCAATCCAAACCAGACCCAATGTAGACAATCCCTCACTGAGACTCTCTTCCTGGAGGTCCTAGGTTGTTAACAAT